GCAAGTAGCGCGAAGTGCCCTGATATTCTCTTGTGTATCATAGAAACCCATTTCTTGGATTTGTGATAATTGTGTAGCATACAGTTGTTCCGAGGGAACTGGAGAAACAAAAAAGAAGTTGGTAAGTAGTGATATAAAGTGTTCATATAGATGTGAAAAGATAAAAGAAAGCTAACCATCGGGTTGGTTGGGAACTCTGAGGCTACCAGCACCTAGACCACCAAACATATTCATCAACAAATCCAGACCAGCAGTAGGGACTGCTCCTGAAAATGCAATTAAGCAAAATGAAGTGCAAAACATAAAGATGGATGAAAGAGCAAACTAGAGAGTTCAATGCTAGAGAGAGAGCCCTTGAAACTTCAAGTGCTTTTCATGCTGTTTGTAGAGAAAGTTCATAACTACAGCTTGGTTTTTATTTCGTACCTGCAGTGGCACCTGTTTGTGCGGAATCCCTGTAAGAAAGCCAATTATGGTTAAAAGGAAAGAAGAAAAGCAATGGTATAATCATCAAGGCACGAGTTATATCCATAAAGATAAAAATATACAGAAGGGCCAAATAGAAAACAGAGAATTTGATTCTATTTTTTGAATCCCTAAAATATCCAATCTGGCTAGATAGAAATAATCATCTATTATTAGACCTTTCAACTTTGACCCGACCAAAAAAACCAAGCCCGACTTGATCGTGAAAAATCAACAGCTCAAACCCATCCACCTGACCCGAACTCAAATTAAGTATCATTTTTAAAATGTAATTGAGATTATAACTTGTAAATTGTAATTATAATTTTTTATCAACATAAAATATGCAATTTCAACTTGAACATTTTCTAAGAGTAGTGCAAGATGGGTATAGTTGAGCCGAGGTTTTGGTTAAAATAACCAAGTATATGGCCACTAGGATTTAAGGTTAAAGGAAGAGATAGCCTGCACACAACTAACAATCAGGTTAACAGACAAAACCAAGAGTTGGCAGGGCGACAATGGAAAGTAAAATTTGAAATCATATCAAGAAATAGGAAGCGTGGCAGAGGCCCTAATCAAGTACGCTTGGGATACACCTGAAGGCTTTCAGCAATACACGATACCTCCCAAGGAGATCACCCTTGAGTTAAGGAGAGAAGAACCTTAGTTTGGCTAAGCGCCAAAATCCCTTTTGTTAAAAAAAAAACATTTTATACATAATTATTGAATGCTACAATTCAATCTCCTTTTTAAAAATTTCAGATAAGTTATATTTTTCTTTTTTAAAAACAGGAGTCAATATATATGAAAAATATCAATTTTATTTTTAAAATCCGAAATTAGTAAAACAATATATTTTTACCAAATTTTGATTTCTTTGGTTCTATTTATTAAACTTATTAAATTGTAAAATCAACTAATTCTTAACTTAATTAATTGAATAGATCAATCCAATTTAATTTTGAATAAAGTACACAATTGGTTTCCGACTATAGGATTTTACTTTATTAAGTTCCTTGATTATTAAAAGTTATAAAATGGTCACCCGACTATAGAGTGTTACTTTGTTGAGTTCCTCGACTATTAAAAGTTACAAAATGGTCACCCGACTATCCATTATGTTCCAAACTTGTCTTTCTCTGTTAAAAGATTAACGGTATTCTGAGCTAAACGTTAGTCCGATGACTATGATATGATGAAATATGATCACATAATCTCAAACGACTATCATATCTCAGTCATCATGTTAATATTCAACTTAGACAATCATCAATTTTTTAATAGAAAATGACGAGTTTGGAACATAATGAATAGTCGAGTGACCATTTTCTAACTTCTAATAGTTGAGAGACTCAACAAAATAACACTCTATAGTCAAAGGATCATTTTGTAACTTTTAATAGTTGAATGACTTAATGAAGTAATTTTCTACTAATATTATGTTGAATATATTAATTAGTTAACAAATTTACATATTAGTTTAAGAAAGTTGCTTTTATTAAATGATTTGTTCTCTAAGACACCGTTTAAAGTCATTACTACTTAAAAAAGTATTAATTCTAAATAAGATAAGGGATGTAATTGGATCAGATAATCGGATATCCGATCTGAAAAATTGGATATCCGAAAATTCGGGCATATGATTTTCTCGGATCAAATTCATATATCTATTTTAACTATCCGAAATTTTGAATATCCGAATTTTTAGATCAGATCGGATCTGATACTCACATTATGAAGCAAATGAAAAATCATATTTAACAACGCTATGGATGAGCACGGGGCGGGGTGGGACGATATTTTTGTCGCCCCGACCAAAAAATATATTCCCTAAACTAGACCCCGCCCCGATAAATTTTAAATTTTCTTTCGTTCGACCCCGCTCCGAATTTTATATTAAAACTCTGACTCAATCCAATCCGAACATATTAATATTTTAAAATAAATAAAATAATATATTTTATAATAACTTTATATTTTTAATAATTAAAGAATATATTTCACTAATATAAAAATAAAAAACTCTATAATTTTAAATATATATAAATGTAAGATAATAATTTATAACGAGTCAGATAGAGTATTTTGATCATTCCTAAACCACCTCTAGAAATAAAAAATCATCATCATCACCAACAGTATTTTCTTATGTTTCTGCAATTATTTTGTGTGTCAAACAAATTATATTGTATACCCTACGTATGCTTAGGGGTATATTCGGTTCGATTCGGTTCAATTTTTTATTAAAAATTGAATTGAACCGAAATAAAGGATTTTTTAAAATTTAAATCAAAATAGAATGGTTAAAAAATCGAAATCGATTTTTTTTGTTCGATTCGGTTTATCGGTTTTTCAATGAAAAAATCACTTGAAACTATAATTTTTTTTAAAAAAATTACCTATTCGGTTCAATATGGAACAAATGGGTTCATATGAAAAATCCGAACCGAATCAAAAGAATGAAGACTTTAAATCGAATCAAAAATCGAACCATATAATATCAAACCGAATCATTTTACTCGGTTCCTATCGATTTTTAGATCTTCTCGGTTTCGTTGATCAGCTTGTTATCTGCTTGTGCAGAGCTTGGTGCATGTTCTCAATCACTTTTGATAGAAGCTACATGTCGATGAGATCACTTTACATGAGATCATTATCACGTGAAGTTGATGTTTTAACTCTACAAGGAAGCAACCAATTGTTCTAATATTTTCCAACAAAACAAGCCGTAAGGCATCATGAAGAACGCGAAGTTATGGAGCAATGCTCTCAAAGCACCCTCTTTCGCCACCGAGCTCGTCTTCCCCAGACAAACCAGTGTCTTTGTTGGTCAAGAAATGCATCTCTCTCTTACAAAAATGTGGCTCTTCCCAGCTCAAACTCAAATCCACGCTTTCTCCATCAGGCACGGTGTCCCATTTAATAACCCTGATATCGGCAAACACCTTATTTACAACCTCGTTTCCTTCTCAGCTCCCATGTCATATCCCCACAGCATCTTTTCTTGTATCCAGAGCTCCAATGTATTCACTTGGAACACCATGATTAGAGGCTACGCTGAGCGTGAAAACCCGGAGCCAGCCCTTCAGTTGTACCTCCAGATGCGGGCTTCATGCATCGAACCCGATACCCACACTTACCCTTCTCTCTTGGAAGCCGTTGCGAAGCTGACGGATTTAAGGGTAGGGAAACTACTCATTCCACGGTTATAAGAAATGGGTATGGCTCGTTACTCTTTGTTCAGAATTCCTTGCTTCATGTGTATTCTGCTTGCGGGTTGGTCGATAGATCGTATAAGGTGTTTGAACTAATGTCTGACAGGGATATCGTGGCTTGGAATTCTGTGATTAATGGGTTCGCTCTTAATGAGAAGCCTAACGAGGCTCTGACTCTCTTCAGGGAAATGTTGTTGGAGGGTCCGGAGCCTGATGGGTATACTGTGCTTAGCTTGTTATCTGCTTGTGCAGAGCTTGGTGCATTGTCTTTGGGTAGGAGAGTTCATGTATATACGGTGAAGGTTGATTTGATTGATAATTTGCATGTTAATAATGCGCTTTTAGATCTTTATGCGAAGTGTGGAAACATTAGAGAGGCCAGGAGTGTCTTTGATGAGATGAAGGAAAGGAATGCAGTTTCTTGGAGTTCTATGATTGTTGGATTGGCTGTCAATGGGTTCGGTGAGGAAGCACTTGAGCTTTTCAAGGATATGGAAAGAGTGGGATTGGTGCCTAGTGAAGTTACTTTTGTTGGGGTTCTATGTGCTTGTAGTCATTGTGGGATGGTTGATGAAGGTTTCAATTACTTTTCAAGGATGAAAGAGAGATACGAGAGTTTGCCCTTATGGTTGTATGGTTGATTTGTTGGGTATGCCATTGCAGCCTAATGCTGTTATTTGGAGGACATTGCTAGGAGCATTAAGCATGCACAATGCATGGCCATTTGACTTTAGGAGAGTATGCAAGAGCTAAAGTATTACAGCTAGAATCTGGCTGTAGTGGTGATTATATGCTCCTCTCTAACCTCTATGCTTCAGAGAAACAGTGGTCCGACGTTCACATCTTGAGGACAAAGATGCTTAGGGAAGGAGTGAAGAAAGTTCCAGGTTATAGCATCGTAGAGTTCGATAATCACGTGTATGAATTTGTCATGGGTGATAGATCTCATCCTAAAACCAAGCAAATTTATGCAATGCTAGCTGAAATAACAAAGAGGTTAAGATTGGAAGTTTATACTCCCGATGCAGAAAATGTGCTTGCAGATATAGAGGAAGAAGAAAAACAGAATGCTTTATCTTACCACTGCGAGAAGATTGCGGTTGCTTTCATGCTAATTAAGACAGCACCAGGGACCCCAATTAGGATTGTAAAGAATTTGAGAATTTGTGCAGATTGTCATTTGGCAATTAAGCTTATATAAAAAGTTTTTGAACGATAAATTATTGTGAGGGATCGAAGCCGGTTTCACCATTTTAGAGACGGTTCTTGCTCTTGCGGGAATTACTGGTAAATTGTTGGATGGTTGCATTTGGGTTAGTTCTTAATAAAATATTCATAAACAGTGTAGTATATAATTCAATTACAGGGATGAAACTGAATATGCAGACTTGAAACGCATGTTTGCTTAGCTGCTCTCACTCTACATGAAAACTCAGTTTAATAATCTGCTTCTATTTCACAACAGTAGCTGGAAGGGGTTTAACTTATAAGTTGGCTTTAACATGGTGTAGCCTCCAAATTGTGCATTTTTACATAAACTTTGGGTAGCCTCAACAAGAATGGGTATAGAGGATTAAGATCAATACAATGTTTTTCCCTCATGATGATCCCTTCATGCCTTGTTGCTTCTTTTCTTCAAGTCCAGCAGCTTCGTTCAGCATGTCCGTCGCATCCTTCTGCATGTCTAGTTTGGCAAGTGCAATTGACTGCATGTAAAAGGCTGTTGGCCAATCAGGATTCACAATTTGCGCCTGCATCGCATCTGCCAGAGCAGCATCTGCTTGATCACAGAATAGATAGCACAGACTGCGCCTAGCGAAAACAGTGGAGGAGACCATGGTTCCCACATCTATGAACTGCATAGAAAGAAAAAAACAATCATAAGGTTTCAATCCCAACTCAAGATGGTTGAACATAAGTCTCATTGCAGCATGAAAACTGCGCGCCCAAGTTGGCCAACAAGATAGCATCATTGACAAATTCTCAACCAAAGAACAAAAGCTTCTCGAAAAGTTAAAGTCTCAAGGTTAAACCTGGGAATAACAGTCAATGGCGGTTTTAAAATCTTTATCACGGAATGCAGAGTCCCCTCGCTTCCTAGCCTCAAGCATATCCCTCATCTGTTGAGTCCACTCTTGGAAAGATAACTGAGCCAACCCACGGATAAGTGAAATTCTTAGTAAAACACTAGAGGAAAAGTGAGAAAGGACTAACTTAATCGATTCATTCACCTCATTTGATCCTTCATCATCCTTGTAGTGATTCATCACCAATATTTGATGAATTGCTGTGAGGTCAAGTCGTGAACAGGCTTCACTCATCGGCGAAAGCGGATGTTGTGGAGTCGATGGAGCTTCCTCATACTTTGAGATCCCAAGCATGACATAAGACGGAACCTACAAAACCAATGTTCAAGGTGAAGTACATAAAGAAGCTTTGATACTCAAAATTTCCTTTTTCATCATATCTAGGCCATTGGGTGACCTTTGTTATTGCAGAAACCGTATGAGTGAAAAGTTTTCAAGTATTAACTTAACTGAATAGGCAAAAGCAGAAAAACTCCTTACATCAGCTCTGGTTTGCAACGGAGCCAGTGTGGCAACAAGGTCCCTTGTATGGGGCCGCTCCCTTGGTTCATAATGCAAACACTGAGAGGCAAGGCTAACAACCACAGTTGCCTCGTCGGTCGAAAATTTTCCCTCTAAATGTGAATCCATGAGGAGGAGGATGTTTTTGCCTTGTATCATATCAAGTGCCTGCAAACATGCACGGCCATCAATTTGAATTGCATGTTCCCATTGACAACCAATGCAAGAGCCCAAAAGATAACAGACTATGATTTGCAGAATTTTGAAAAAAAAGAAAGAAAACCTACATAATACTATATATGCGGCCTTTCTACCATACTATAAGTCACTTATATCCACTTACATGACTAGGAGGGATGTGCTTCCCACTTATCAAATCAAGAAGAACAGTGCCAAAGCTGTACATTACGCTTTCAGGGGTGACTCTCCCTACAATTCACCAAATTGTTGCAGATAGCAGAAGGCATAAGTCCGACAAGATTTGACGAAAAGAGTCGTGCAATTCGAAAATAGAAAACACCTCCCACACAGCATTTAACATTAGAAAATGGCACAGAACAACACAATGACAGATAAACAGCTAATCATACATCCAGGAGATGATTTCATACATGAACATAGTAAAGAACAGAGCAGCTAACCATACACCATGCAAGCAATATATGCAAACCAATGGATTAGAGATAAACCAATCAACATTATTAAGGACCAACGCATATCCAGAGATGAGTAACAGGTAAATCTCTTTGCATTTCGACAATAAGACGAACGATGAATGAGTATTACAGGACAGAAACATTAACAATCAGAAATAAACCAAATGGAAAAGGAAATACCGTTTCTTAGATATTCCGGCGGTGTGTAAGCAAGATTAGTACTATAACTTTTCCCATCCCTGCTATTCTTCATCAGGCCAAAACATGAAAGACGTGGATCACCATCCTAAAAAATCCATTACAAAGATATCAATTACTAGCTTAATAATAGTTAATTCTAGAGAAAGAGGATGAAAAGAGACCTATACCTCATCAAAGATAACCCTGTAAGCATTTAGATCATGGTATAATGGGTGACCCTCATTACTACAATAATCTAAAGCCTCAGCAATGCAGAAAGCTACTCTTAATCGCATTGTCCACTCAATGGTTTGATTTTCCCCTGCATTATGTGAGCATAGACCCAAGCTTAGTCTGAGAAAATCAGAAATGTCCAGAAACACATATTCAAATCTCAATCTAAAAGCATTTAACTAAAAACATAAAACAGAGAACTTTACCCTTCGTACCAGACTAAGAAAAATCTACCTGTAAATAACCTATAAGTTCAGCACGGACTAAAGGAACCCAATAAATTAGCAAGAAACTGAAACAAGAATAACATTAAAGGCTAAGCCAGTGTTACATAAGGCAATTTCTAGGCAAGAACAAGCAAGACCTAAATAGAATTCAACCCTGCTAAAACTGCTTAAAACACTAACAAAAATGAAAAGTGTTTCATCAAAGTAAAAGAGAACTGACAATGAAACAAATGCTTAGCGAGAGTATCATTTATCATGTACTCAGCAACAAGCAACCTTTCATCTCCATCACAGCAATACCCTATCAAATTTGCCAGCCTCTTGTGTCTCAACTTCCCTACTCCCCAAGCTTCCTCCTGACCAAATCCATAAAAAAGAAAAAAAAAACCCACTTCAAATATTAAACAAGAAACCCACAGGAAAACATCAAACCAAAAAACAATGATGTAATAATACCACAAACTGTTTGGGGTCAGGCCAAGCCATCTTAGTGAACTTCTTAACAGCAATCCATTTCCTGTTTTTCAAACGACCTTTATAAACAAGGTTAGGAGCCTTTTCCCCACTCTCAGAAACTATGTTATCTGAACTGAAATTATTGGTGGCTGCTTTGAGGTCGGCCAAAGAGAACTCTGAGAAACAAGGGACTCCATTAGCAACAACCGGGACGACTGGTACAGCACCCGAACCTGATTGGTTATGGTTCTGAGTCTCTTGTTGTTGTTGTTGTTGTTGTTGTTGTTGTTGTTGTTGAGTCTCTGTTCGAAAAGACGATTGACAACAACCCATAATTCAGTTTTCTTGAAGCTTTCTTCTACTTTTTTTCACAACAAAAATGAAAGATGCAGGGTTTTTGGTTTTCACAGAAAAAAAGGGTATTTAAAGAGTGAAATTTGTTTTGAGTTTGTTTTGTCTTGTAAAATCAGTTTGATTGGTCGAGTTTTGTTAATGTTTTTACTGCATTTTTCTTCTTCTTGTTTTAGGGTCTGGCCCTGCTAAATCTGTTGCAGTAATAAAGGAGTTCATCATTTCCAACTTTTTTAGACGGTGATATTTGTAGTTGTTGTCACTTCCTTTTCTTTAATACAACCCCTGGGAAATTACTCGGTTGCTTATAAAAGTTAAATGATAATTCAATCATAAAAATAGCTAAATTCAAGATACATATTATACTAATTCAAGTTCACACCTTTCTTTTTTGTTTCTTTTGCACACGGTTAATTGTTAAAGCATATGTAATTTTCATTAGAAAAACCTCAAGGCTGGAAGAGTTCGCTGTACATCTTATATGGTTGACATTTATCTGGGTTTAGCGATCAACAAATTAGTCTCCTTTTACTGCTAAACATACCTTTCAATAATTTCCTAAATCTTTATCATAAAAACCTCTTTTAATTGAATCATTTTTCTTGTCAAATAATCCTTGCAGTATCAAAAATTTTGGTGAATGCAGCTGACAAAAGAAAAATTAAATATAAGACAATTGTTACAGTGGGGGATAAACTCATCGTTCTAATACGATAAATTTTAATAAAAATTATTATTTAAAAAAATCTGTGTTCAAACAAGGCGAATTACTGGAAAATTTTCATTGTTTTTATGTATTTCTGTGTTTTAAATTAGCTTAAACGAGAATATAAGAAGAGATTTCAGCATTAAAAAAATGGGGAAAGGCATCTATTCTCCGGCCTGCACTCCACAAAATCAAGATGAAGATGAGGATAATAAGGCAATCTCTAGATGCCAGAGCATGTCAATTTCTTTAAGCAAGAACATTAATAAATCATTTTTTCTTCGATTTTTTTTTATATGAAGACTAGGAAAATATTAGAGTTTGAAAGAAGAATCTATTATTAGTTTTACTTGTTAGGCAAGTAACCACACATTCCAAAGTTTGTCCATTTATGATTTATGCCCATGATTTGCCTTTCTAGTTTCTATATAGCCTGCCGGTTGTGCTTTTGATTAAACAACCACCACCAAATTTGCAACAAAATTTTATACGGGTTTTGTTAATGAATATGCAATATCTTAATTTATCAAGACATCCTAAGGGTTTGTTTTATATGTTGTATCTAACAACAATAATATATTCGGAGGGGTATTATCTATTATTCAAACACCAATTCATAAAAAAATCTTAAAACTATTTATCATTTCATCTAAAATTATTTGTTAAGTAAATTTTAATAATATATTTTATATGATTATTTTATTCCACTCATAGCATGAATATGTATGTAACGTCCTGAATTTCGGGTTTTGGGCTAACCCGAGATAGACCTTGGATTAAATCTCTAGCTTGTAGGAAGCATTGACCCAAGAATAAGTGGAATTGGGCTTGGATTGAGCCCAATTGTGGATAACAAGGGTATTTTTAGCTTATAACTAAAACCAGAATGACCAAGGAAGCAAATATACTATTATTCAAAGTAAAGGCTGGAAACCAATTAAGATTGATGATCTCACGTCTGATTTTTAGCATCTTTTTTTCTTCACTTCCCATGTATTCTTCTCCCAAGTTATCTTTCTCTTCTTCATTATTCTCTTGATCAAAGATGGAAGCTTTGGTTTAGTTTCAGTTTATTTCTTTAAACCAAGGTAAAGAGTGAATTCATCATCTTTAAAGTTTTCTTTTGAATCCTCAACTTTACCATTTCACCATGGGAGCCAAAAACGGGTTTTGTGGGGTTTAAGAGTTTTCAAGATTTCAACCCGTTTTCAATAATCCATAGGCTTAGGAAGTGTTCTTATTACCTTCTTAACCATTTCTTTTAACTAGTAATATATTCCTTGATGTTTGTCTAGGGAGAGAAATTGGAGAAAGCTCCAAAGCTAAAGGGAAGGAGAAAATCACCCTTAGTTGAGCATTGGTTGTTTTCAGCAGTTTAACATCAAAGGTAACTCACTCTTAATTCAATTATACCATAAGTCATTTAGATGAAATGTGATAGGTTGCATAAGCTTAAAGCATCCTCATGGTAGATTTCTTGTTTTAGAGTTATAAATATGTTTAAAGCTCTTTTTGTGCTCCTTTGTATCTTCATAAAATATTAATAATGTTTGGAGACCTCACTAAAGTCTTTGGGATAGTATAATAAGAGTTTTTGCACATATTTTATGCTCTCTGCAGGTTGAGTTTCGATACTAGAGGGATAGTATCGAAACTTGTTCTTCTTCTCGAGCAAACTTGTACGTTTATGGGCAAGAGTATCGATACTTTGGATCACAGTTTCGAAATTCCCAGAAAGTTTCGAAACTAGGCAGAATAGAATGTTTAAAAGTATCAGTACTTATATAAAGTATCGAAACGTTTACAGGAGTATCGATACTCTTGGGATAGTATTGATACTTTCAGTCTGTTTTGGACAAAAGGTCAGTTTTTAAGCGAATTTGACTCGAGGTACCCCAACACTTCAGTATATCCTCAAATAAGACTTCAAGCAAGAACAATAATTAATATCATAACAGTAGAAACATAAATAGCTAGATTTACATAAAACTAGTCTTGTTTGACGCTCAAGAAACGATCAAACACCCGAGTTCTTTTTAGCAAAAATACGACAGTCAGCGGATCCAAGTCAGTACCATGACACTACAACAGTCGACTGGGCGTAGAAGCCCCAAGACTCGACGGAGTAAGTCGATGGGTGTACGTTCAGATGCAGAATTCTGGATCTCACCCAGGAGTACCCGATGGTGTTTCGACAGTGCTAGAGGGGTGTGTGAGCTCCGAGATGCAGAATCCCTCAGTCGCACTATGATGTCAGCCATAGATTAACAGCCCAGTAGTGTACACTCAGACATGTGCCACTTGTCACTTCATCTAGTGAATGTATATAATATAGGCACTGAGCTCGTAAGCTCAGCATTCGGAATGTGTTTATGTGCACAGGTTCTTAGAGAGCATGTCATAGGAAGCTATTTCAGTGCAACAGATTCAGATTTCCAGAGAAGTTTCAGAGTACGTCTTGAGTCATCTTTAGAGGGCAAATACTGTTATAGACCTTGTTATGTATTCAATCGTAACTCTTTTGAAACTTCGTATTTTGTATTATTTAGCAGATGTATTTTAGGAGCTCCCCATTTGTAAACCCAGTTTATTATTATATTTTTATATTACATTATGAATGTTTAAAGTTCATAGATTTACAAGGAGTTTTAAAAGAAAATTTTTGGGTCACTTTTTCGATAGTCTCGTATAACATTGTAATCTACGGATCTTCGGGTCTAACTGGATTAGGGTGTTACAATGTAAATTATAGTTTATCTCAAATTTATTATGAATTTATGACTATGTTCGTATATGATGTTAATGAACTAAAATTTATACATGCATAATAGTTATTTTGTAAGGCTATACATTCTCTCTATAGTTTTTGCTTGCCTAGTCAACTCTAAAAATATCCTTGTTGGATCTGTCGTTATTTGGGTATGTATATTGAGATGAATCATCTTTAAGAGTCTGCGGCATCTCAAAGCTTCCATAGACACTAATTCCAGAACATATCAACTTAATCGAAGTAATCTTTTTCATACTCAAGAACAGACCTGGCGCCCTGAATCAACTACGAGAACTAGAGCCGAAGATCATCCATCTGAGCATCCCCAATATATTTCTGATGGAACTCGATCAAGAAAAGTTCTCATGTCGTCTGTTCAGGTTATAAGGCCATTTCGACCGTCTCCCACCAATCAATGGCATCCCCTTTGAAAAGGGAGACTACACACTCCAGGTTGCCTTCTGGAGTTAGATGTAACTGTCTCAAAGTCCTTTGTGTTTCACATAGTCACTAATATGCCACTATAAGATCATCTTCACTAGAACCATGAAAATCTACAGTTTTGTATCTCCTAAGACGTTGTATAGGCATTTCATGTGTCGGGATTGAAGGGGAGGGAACCACTAGAGTAGGGCTAGGCTCGAGGAATGGCCCTTACAATTCTTCATAAGGTTGCATTTAAATTTTGAAAGTAAGTTGCTTCGGCTACCCAAACGTCTCCCTCTAGTCTCGCTTCCCCTGAATCCGAGACGAACTCATCTTCTAACTCATTAGAAAGGGATGCTTGACTTTCACTCCGAGCTTCCTAACTTCTATCAGGATCACTGGCCATCTATTATCCTACAATAATAAGAGTGAAGGAAAACGTCATCAAGAGCCCAACATATAGGAGTACACTTGATTTTAAGGACTTCTATCCATGTATTTACATACGTCACTAACACTGGTACTAGGATCGACTTAACCTAAGGCTTTGATATCACTAAATGTAACCATCTACACCCTTACGAGTGTATAACATCACATGACTCCAGCGTTAACAAGTCCAAATACCCTTATGATGACCCACTTGCATAGAATATAATAAAAATAAAATAAGAGAATTGGTAATAAACTTGCACTTAACAAAAAAAATAAAAACCTTAATATTTAATAATGGAGCTCCATTATCTCAAATCTTCAATAAAATTGGTATAATCAGTATTACAATTTTGATACAACAAACATGATTTTCATAGACCAAACCCGCACGTTTACATGGATACATTGTCCAACAAAAGAAATCACTATTGTACTCGGGCGAAGTTGGGATTCTACAGAGAAGGTGCTCCTATAATGGGAAATCTATTACTTTAAGCTTGAAAGGAGAAACAATTTTAAAAGTGAACTATAAGAGTCTAGTAATGAACAATTATTCTAAGGAATTCTTATAAGTAGGTTATTTGAGTAAATAAGAATTTTTACACATTTTACAATTTCATCCAAGATTCTCTGCGAAAAAATATCATTATATTCTTATGATAGAAGATTTTTCATATATTGAAAATCCATTATTGGTTTTAGTTCTATCCCTGGGGATTCCGTACGAGTTACCCAAAATAAATATAATTAGGTACTCTCGTGCGAGTCATTCTAATCCTTAGATGCTCCCGTGCAAGTTAATCTAATCCTTCATGGCTCTTATACAAGTCACCCGAAAT